CTCCCCAAAGATCTCAGTCTTGTGTGGCTGGGTGTGGAGGTGGCTTCCCAGGGGGAACGGGGACTGGAGCCATCAGGATAAGTAGTGAGTAGACGGGCTAAGGCTTAGGGCCCAGGTCGGAGAGCCCTGCTGTAGCAGGGAGCAAGTGAAGGGTTTCAGATGTGTTCACAAGGAAGCTTTGGTGAGTTGGGGCCTCCGGTGCTTGAGGGCCCCAACTATGAACAGGAAGAGATAACACAAACCAACAAAGGCTGATTTCCCAAGTGAAAGAAAATGCTAACAAGGCTTAACAGAAGTCCACCTCCCCAGGCTTTCCTGGAAATAACTCATATCACATCTAGTTCTTTCTGTCAGCATAAAAAAGAAAGTAGCAGTTGTGAAATACGAAAACAGTTCATTCTGAGCCCAAGCACCCGACATCATGGTTTGGAACACAGACACAGGTTACTCAGAATGACATGGGTCCCCAAAGATCGTGTCCTCCTACAGAGAAAGGGCTGAGGCTTATACAGTCCTGAAAGAGAGGTGGCAGGGCTATCCAGGAAGTGGGCTGCAGAGAGGCGAGGCATCTCTCCTCCCGGATTTGATGCAGTCTCCATCTGGGTGGAGACATTCTATGCAGAAGCAGGTGCCCGCTCATTCCCAGCCTTGAAGTTGGGAGGGGTGGGAGGTCCAGAAGCCTAGCATCCGTTTTAGGGTCTTAACCAGTAGTTCCAGGTCAGAGGCAAAGGCTGATAATACATGGCTGCCATTGTGGGCCAAAGACCACCCAGTACAGCCTTGGACTTTTCACTGTTTGCTTTTAAATAGTATCTCATTATCCAGTTCACTATCTTCCTGTCTCAGATGGGCTCAGACCACAGGTGTTTGCCACCACATGCAGCGAACCTGGGTCTCTTGGTCCACATCCCATCTCTCCGTAAGGCTGTGATGCCCCCACTCAGCAAATTGACAAGCCATCCAGAAGGTCTTACACAAAGCCAGGCTCTTTAGGGAACATTAATCCACACTTCTTCCCAGGAACCTTCAGTTTGCTGGGAGTCGAGCCAGAAACAGCCCACGCTATACCCCTTGACTGTGGAATTCAGAGGTGCCACTCCCATGGGCTGGAGTGAAGTGCTCTTCTCTCTGCTTGTACCATGAGAGAGGCTTGCAGAAGCAATTTCAGTGAGGAGAGGTCCATCATGGGCCTTTGAGAAACTTTCAGAAGCCTCAGAATAAAACAAGCAAGTATGTGCTTCCCCAGATGAATTTCTGTTGCCCAATATTTTATTGTATATACCAGTAAGTAGATGATAGATTTATAGGTGAATGAATGATAGATAGACAGAGAGACAGACAGACAGACATGGGTAGTTGTCCTACTTTGATTCCTATTACTGTGACGAAAGCAGCTTCAGGTAGGAAAGGTTTTATTTGACTTACATGTCCTGATCACAGTTCATTACTGAGGGAACTCAGAGCAGGAGACTTGAGGCAGGGACTGAAGCAGAGGCCAGGGAGGGACGCTGCTTACTGCTTACCTTGCTCATCTTAGCTTGCTCAGCCTGCTTTCTTATACAACTCAGGACCACCTGCCCAGGGGTGGCACCACCCACAGTGGGCCTGGCCCTCCCACTTTGATCACTAATCAAGAAAATGCCCTAGAGACTTGCCCACAGGCCAGTATGATGGAGACATTGTTCTCAACTGAAGTTCATCTTCCCAAATGACTCTGGCTCATGTTGACAAAAATAACAACTAACCAGTGCAGTAGTGAAATGTATGGATAGATAAATATAGTGGGTGGGTAGACAGACAGACAGACAGACAGACAGACAGACTGGATGGAAATAGATAGATGATGGATGTGTCTTAGTTACTTTTCTATTGCTGTGAAGAGACACCATGGCCAAGGCAGTTTATAAAATAAAATGTTTAATTGGGGGCCTGCCTACAGTTTCAGAGGGTGAGTCTGTAGATAGAGTTTTCCTGCCTGGCCCACAGTCAAGACAAATCTCTACCACCCGCCAATCCCACAGCCACTCAGACCCAACCAAGTAAACACAGAGACTTATATTGCTTACAAACTGTATGGCTGTAGCTAGAGTGTTCCTGCCTGGCCCACAGTCAGGACAAATCTCTCTCACCCGCCAGTCCCAAGCCGCTCAAACCCGATCAAGTAAACACAGAGACTTATATTGGTTACAAACTGTATGGCCGTGGCAGGCTTCTTGCTAACTGTTCTTACAGCTTAAATTAATCCATTTCTATTAATCTATACCTTGCCACGTGGCTTGTGGCTTACCGGTACTTTACATCTTCCTTGTCCTGATGGCGGCTGGCAGTGTCTCTCTCACCCAGCTTCTTGTCCTCTCTCTTTTCCTCTCTTAGTCCTGCCTATACTTCCTGCCTAGCCACTGCCAATCAGTGATTTATTCATTGACCAATCAGCAACACATTTGACATATAGACCATCCCACATCATATGGCTGTGCCAGGCTTCTTGCTAACTGTTCTTATATCTTGAATTAATCCATTTCTATAAATCTATACCTTGCCACGTGGCTCGTGGCTTACCGGCATCTTCACATGCTGCTTGTCATGGCGGCGGCTGGCAGTGTCTCTCTCCACCTTCCTGTTCTCTCAATTCTCCTCTCTATTAGTCCCGCCTATACTTCCTGCCTGGTCACTAGCCAATCAGTGTTTTATTTATTGACCAATCAGAGCAATTTGACATACAGATCATCCCACAGCATGAGTCCATGACCATCATGGCAGGGAGCATGGTGGCAGGCAGGCATGGTTCTGGAAAAGCAGCTTAGAACTTACATCTTGTCCACAAGCACCATGTGGGGGAGGGGGGATGGAGGAACATACTAACTGGGAATGGTGTGGGCTTTTGAGACCTCGGAATCCATAGGCAGCGGGATGAGAGAGCCACTGGACCTGGCTTGGGCTTCTGAATCCTCAAAGCCCACCCATAGTGACACACTTCCTTCCACAAGGCTGCACCTCCCCCAACAAGGCCACACCTCCTAATCCTGAGTAGTGCCACTCCCTGATGACTAAGCAGTCAAATATATGAGCCTATGGGGGCCACTCTTATTCAAACCACCACAGATAGATGGATAGATGGACAGACAGACAGACATTTAGGCACCTGCCAAAACAGAGTAAAAGTGTAAGAAAATGTCTGGTTTCACAGGCAGTGAGGGCCCTTGTAGAATGTAGACTTGATCAGAGGAGAAAGCATCCCTAAGACTGGAGGGAAATGACCCTCCGCCCTCACCTCACACACTCAGACAAGGATGCTCTGTGGCCTAGAGCGGTGGAGGAGGACCTGAGAATTCCACCAGCAAGAGACAGCCCTGACCTTGATTTTCAGTCTGGAACAGATGGTGACATTTAGAGAAAGCTGAGCTTCATCCTGGCTGAGAAACACCCAGGGAAGCAAACCACAACTGAGCTGTGTGTGAGGCCCCAAAGAACCTGGATTTGGGGACCTCAGACCCCTTCCTCTAGAGAAGTTTTTCTCAACCTTCCTAACACTGCAGACCCTTTAATATAGTTCTTCATGTTGTGGTGAGCCCAACCATAAAATTTTTTTTGTTGCTACTTCACAACTGTAATGAATCCTAATGTAAATATCCGTGTTTTCTGATGTTCTCTGTCGATCCCTGTGAAAGGGTCTATTGACCCCTGTGGAAGGGTCGCGCCCCACAGGTTGAGAACTGCTGCTCTAGAGTCTCCCTCTACCTGGAGGCAGGATCAGCTCCCTCCCATCTGCTTTCTCGGGAAGGAGCCTCCCTGTGCCGTGGGGATGAAAAGCCTTGGAAACTAAAGATGGGAACAACAGGAGAACAGTGGGTGGGGCATCTTATGTCGAGGCTAATGCTGGGTCTTATGTTTCCTTTTTGTGATGTTGGAGATCGAGCCGGTCCCACCCTTTTTGATGGTCTTACATGTGGGCCTCTCTGAGGGATCCTACTCCCCTCCAAGAGTTATCCAGTTCTTACCAAAGGTTGCCCAGGAGCCCACCACCACCCTTTTATAAACCCAGTAACCAATTGGAGCCCTGGCTCTGTACACCTGCTCCATAGGGCCCAATCACTGGAGACCAGGGACAGACAGACAGACACCACCCTGAGACCCCTGAGGCCCCCTGAGCCAGTCTTTGTCTGCTCAACCTGCCTTACCTTTCTTCTCCTTACTCTCTTTTTTCTCCTCTGCTTCCAGACCAGGCCTGATACCCCCTTTTGTGCCCCTCCACTCCGTGGCTATGACACACCCCCTCCTCTTGGGGACTGTAACACTGTCTTTCCAGCGGAAGCTGTCTCCTCATCACTAGCCTGACTACACCTGAATCATCATAAAACCTACATTTTAAAACACGCTGCCTCTCCAGCCAGCCGCTCGTTCTCCTGGCTTCTTTTCCTTACACCTTGTGAATACAACTGTGTATCCTGGAGCTTGGCTTCACTATCATCGGGCAGGCCACAATCTGCGTAGAACACAGATTATGCACCCATCCTTTTGTAGATGGATACAAGCAGTTTTCAGGTTCATTCTCACATTCATCCTGATCATTTGTGAATCTGCTGGGCTTAGTCTGGGATCCCTGGTGGTAGGTGCACTCGGAGGCAGCCTTAGAAGGTAGGCAATGGGGACTAGTCAGCAGGTAGATAAAAATCATGCACAAAGTCTTGGAGTCCGTTCCCAGCACTGTATAATTATGATTGCTCTTGCCTGTAATCCCAGCGCTTGAGATGTGGAAGCAAAAAGATCAGGAGTTCAAGGTCATCCTTGGCTACATAGTGAGTTTGGGCTAGCCTGGACTATAGGAGAACCCGATTCAACAAACCAACAGTATAATAATGCAGTATCTCAGCACATGCCATTTGCCTCACTGGCTGGCTCTGCATAGGTCCCCTGCCTGCTACACCAAGCTTCCTGGCCGCGCACACCAGCCCCACTGCCTCCTGTCTAAGGTCTGCACAAACGCAGGAATGTCTCCTCACCTGTGACTGAGCTTTGGCATTCCATCTCCAATCAGCTCTCTGGTTCTTCTCTCAGTCCCCAGTCCAGATTCACTTCCTGCTAGTAAGACTCAGGCTCAGCCTTCCCATGGCATGTAGACAGTAGGCAGGGACCCCCCATGGGCAGGGCCACTCCATTCTCCAAGATTGCATTCCTGTCAGGACTCTGTGTTGGGATTTCTCTGCAACTGGGAATCTGAGCAGCTCTGGGTTTGTAGTCACTCGCCGTCACTATAGCAACCCCTGACTTAACCAGCCACACACTAAAAATAGATCACCTCATCCCTAATATAGAAAAATGAAGGGAAATGAGAGTGGGGCAGGACCCACCCCATCCAGTTACCAGGACCCAGATCAACTTGAAGAGGCCGTGATGCAGCTTCTGGGGTCTCTGTAGGCACCCACCCAAGAGTAGGAAGACCAGGAGGGAGGGGCCACACCTGGAGTGTCCTCAGAGCTACTGTGGCTTGGCTCTTCCCTATGCATCAAGCCTCGGCTGTCCTCTTTCTGTTCTAAACCCAAGCATTGAACAGTGAAGTACAGTGTACCCTAGGTCGGGATGTCTGCAGCCTTTTCTCTTTTCTGCTTGGGGAGCATTGTTTTGTTTTCTAGACAGAGTCTCCTTGTGTACCCTAGGTTAGCCTTCACCTCACATCTGTCTCCTAAGTGCTGGGGTCGCAGGTGGGCACCCCATGCCTGACTTGTTCCGTTTTTCAATCTTAATTCATCTGTAGGTTGTAAATATTTTTTTGAGGGCAGGGATGTAATTTGCAGGATATCATGAGAGCTCCTAGTCCTGGCATATGAAATACTGAAAGGCTTGGGAATGCTGGAGTGAGCCTAGGGAAGGAGAACCTTCAGATACCTGAAGGGCCATCCATCCTACTGGAGAGGGAGTGCTGGGCTCATCCTCTGAGGTCCTGTGGGAAGACAACTTGTCACTCGAGGACCAGCCTCTCTCCGTGACAGCACATGCAATGCCCCTTAATAGATTTGCTTGCATTGTCCAAATCATCAAAGTTCAAGAACGTTTCAAAATGCTTGAAAATTGTCTGGAAAGGGGCTACACAGGAAGGATGTGGGGTCTGTCTTGCTGGGTCTGATTGTGCTGCCATTTCTGCACCGTATGTGAGAGTGTGGGTTGGTGGCGGTCCTGCACTAGAAAGCTTCAGTGAAATGGATCTGTGGCCCCTGAACACCTGTCTGCACACAGTGGGTGCATTGTGCCCTTCCTTGTTCTTGGGGGAGGGTTTTTAAGGTGATGGAAGATGTGGTAAGTGGGGCTTCTTGAGCTCCTGCCTCTGAGATGGAGCTGGGAGAGTAGGGGACATTGATGAGCGTGAGAACTATGCTTGGAATGTGGATGACTTGAATGGTAGCAGTGGTCCTCTGCCACAGGCCAGGGCCAGCCAAGGGGTGCTGGGGGCTTGGGTTTGGGCCTTTCTGGAAAACCCCATTGTCAGGAGCCCTTGGGGAGATCCCTCCTCTTCTCCCTGTCTCTTTTCTCCCTCCTCCTATCCCCAGCTCTTCTTCCTCTCTCTCTTCTCCTTTCTCTTCTCTCCTCCCTCCTCCTTCCCTTTCCTCCTCTCTCTATCCCTCACTTTCATCCTCGTCTCCTTCTCTCTCCTCTTTCCTCCTCCTCTTCCCCTTCATCCTCCTCCTCCTTTTCCTGCATCCTCTCCCTCTTCCTCTCCTCCCTTCTCCTCTCACCTCTTTTTTGTGACCAACAGACAAAACTAAACAACCATTTTCATCACCTGAAAGTATATGGCTTGACAATGCTAAGCACATTGGCAGCGTGGAGACACGCCCCATTTCCCCTCTGCTCTCAGAATCCATCTTCCAAACTGCTTCCATCACACAGTGACCCCTCCAGTCTCCTGTCTCTATGACTCTAATAACTCTGGGGAGCTCGCAGAGTGAGGTTGAGCAGCGTTTTTCTTTCCATCCTTTTGGGTTCTTGTGAGCTGTGGCACAACCCTTTCCCTGTGTCAGATCTCCTTGGGATATGATGGGTTCCTTCCCAGGCTTTGGCCGGTTCCCCCATGCTGTAGAACCTTCCAGATGCCCTTGACAGGCTGAGTGACACTCCACCATTCAGAGACCCTTTTACATATCCAGTTGTGTGTCACGGGATGTCTGAGCTGTGTCCATGTGTCCTATTTATTGTCACACCTGCTGGAAGCGTGAGCCTCCCCCCCCCCCCGCCCCCCCCCCCCCCTCTCTCTCTCTCTCTCTCTCTCTCTCTCTCAGAGTGACGTGTGAAGCGGCAGTTGTCCCCTTCCTCTCAGCCTAGGACTGGGCACTGAGCACCCATCTCACAACCTGGCAGTGAAAGCATTAGGTCCTGCTGCTGGTGGACACCCGTGTAACACCCCCAAGCCCACTCAGCGCCCCCTGCTGGATCTCGGCCAGAGGTGCTGCACTCCCATCCAGCTAGAGACACCACATCCCAGCACTCTCCACAGACAGTGAAGTACCTAACCTCAGACAGCCCAAATGGAAGTTCTGAGGGCAAATATTGAGTGATGTCGTGAGACCCTAGTACCCATAATACCCCTACAGTCGGGGTGCGTAAGGAAGACGTCCAGCTGTCCTGCTTTGCAGTCCCATACCTCCCTCTGTCACACTGTCCTTCAAGAAGGCCTTTTTGAGACCCCAGCACCTAAGTGTGAATCGGAGCCAGGCATACACTCAGGCTCTTGCAGGGTCACCATGGAGAAGGTCCTTAAAGAAGGGGAGCCTAGGAGAATTCCTAGGAGGGGAGCTGTGGAACTCACAGGCACCATTGGATGAGGACCAGCCCAAATCACCAAGGGCTCACACAGGCTTCCCAGCCCACAGGTTGCTGGGCAGCTGGTCCGTGGGAGCTGTAGGGACAGCAAAGTCAAAGCAGCCATCAGAGCAGTCCTGGGACAAATCCACAGTGCTAGGAAGTTCCTCCTGTGGTTTCTAGAAGTGAAATAAACAGGAGCCATCTAAGTTTGAACTTGATCTGTGTTAGTGTCAGAGTTCAAGTTCAGATGAGCAAACGTAACTCAAATCATAAAAACAGCCCAGCAACTAGGGAGATGGCTTGATTGGTAAAGTACTTACTGTGCAAGCATGGGAACCGAGTTCAGTCCCCAGCCCCAGCTTTTAAAAAGCACCCGATGGTATACACCTGTGGGAAGGCAGAAGCAGGAGAATCCTAGGGCTTGCTGGCCAGACCAGTCTACCCCAAACAACCAGCTCCAGACCAGTGAGAGATGCTGTCTGGAGAGACAAGGTGGACAGCCCCTGAGGACCACCAACCCAAGGCTGGCCTCTGACCTCCACAGGCACCTCCCCCATGCATGAACACACATACCCATCAGCACACATGTGCAGGGGGAGGGGAGAAGAGTTAGAGTTCAGCTGTCCAGTCAGTTTGCAGTCAGAGCCCTCAAGTGAAAAGAGCAGCCGGGTCTCCCTTAAAGAAGCCCAGCACACCACTAAGCAAGTGTTCTACAAAGCTTTCTCCCGGTGACCCACCCCCCAGAGGGGCTGGAGGCCTTTATCAGTGCATTAGAGGAAAGGTCACCCACATATGGAAAGAGAGCGCCCCCAGTGCCCTTAGTTAGTGGAAAGGGCACAGAACTGTAGATGGAGACTTTCAGAGCCAACTGGAGAGTTGACAGGCGTTTAAAGAGCTGAGGAATGTCATTTAATCAGACCCTGGATACTGTCTATCTAATCAGTCTGGGTACGTGTTAGCAGCACACCCCAAATAAGAAAGTGACAGTGGCAGCTGTGGTCGGTGGTGTTGAGCTGTCCGCTGATGGCAGGAAGGCCACAGCACATGCTCCTATGCTCCTTGGACCCACAGAACCTCTCGGAGCAACAGGCCTGCTCTCTGTGTCCCCCACCGGAGCCTTGCTGGGATTTCAGAATAGATGCGATTCTGCCCACCCCCACCTATGGTGGGTCAAGTCGTCTTTTATTGGAGCAAAGCCTTGCCTTCCACAGTGAGGGAGGAGCCCCCAGAGGGGACTCTGGGGGGAGAAGGGGTGGGTGGGCTGGTCCAGACCCCTCTGGAATGGAGGTTGATGGTGGTATCCGGATGCTGCGGGGTCAAACCCAGGGCCACAGGAAGGCTGAGCAGGTGCTCACCACAGAGCTGGGCGCAGCCCTGGGCGTGGGCTTTGCTGCAGAGTGGAGGAAAGGAAGCCAAGGGCAGTATGCCCTTGAGACTGGGCAGGAAGAACTTGGCAGGCTGTGGGGCTGGTAGTGTGGACAGAAGAGGAAGTTTCAAACAGTCCCTCTCTCCACAGAGCTGGCCAGCAGGTCTTTCATTCTCCAGCTCCACATGGGAAATAGTCCTTAGCTTTGCCCCAGCAGGGCTCTAACCAAAGCCCGCCTTGATTTTCCCCAGTCTTCCTGTGCTGCAGCCACAGAACTGTAGCTGTCAGCGCGCAGAGGATTCTGAAAGGCTGAAGTAGGTGGGTTTCACCACGCCTGCTTGCAAGTGATGGTTACATCTCTTCAGAGAAGAAGTTCAGCCCCACACTAATGTTTTGGGGGTTGTCTGAACATGTGTGTAGTTAAATAGGTATTGCATGGTGATATTAAAATATTCAAGAAGGATAAAAAGTATCTGGTAAAAAGTGAGACCTGCAGACTGGAGCAAAGGCTCAGTCAGTAGAGTTCCTGCTTCACACGCATGTGAGCTAGTTCAGCCCCCAAACGCCATGTAAAATGTCCGTATGTGATGTAACGTCTGTGCTGGGGAAGTGGAGGCAGAACTTCTCAGGGCTTGTCGGCCAGTCAGCCTGGCCTAATCAGGAAGCTCCCGACCAGTGAGAGACCCCCGTCTCAAAAAGCCAAGGTGGAAGGCAGGTGAGGCAACAGCCAAGGCTGACCTCTTACCTACTCACACATGCACGCACATGCATGCACGCGTACACATGTGTATATGCACCTACAAATGCATTCATCCAGGCAAGACCCAACATGACATAGACAATAACAGCTTCTTCCCTTCTGGAACCCAACCGCCCTGTTTCTCTGCCTGGAGGCAAGTCTTTGCAGGGCCCTCCAAAGACAGCCCGGGCACTCGGGAGCTTACTGTTATTATAACTGTTCGGTATGAATGATAGCATATTATGCATTTTGTTCTGCCATTTGCTTTTTTAGCCTTACACAATAGAAAAGAGATTTACTAAAGATGAGTGCATTCGTCTCTAAGCGGCAGAGCTCTGCCCCACACTGGGAAATGCATTCTCTAGGAAACTGGATTCTCAGAGGTTGGGACAAGGGGATGTTTGAGAGGCAAAATGAAGAAGATGGCCTCAGTTAGTTTTGTTTTGGTTTGGTTTGTTTGTTTTTTTTTTGTTTATATTTATTTATGTGTATGCTTGTGCAAGGGAGGATGTCACTGTGAGCAAGGAGGTCAGAGGACAACGTGCAGGAGTTGGGTCTCTCCTTCCACCATGTGGGTCCTAGGGATCGAACTCACATCATCAGGCTTGGCAGCCAGTGCCTTTATCCCCCAAGCCATCCCACTAAGTATCAATTACTTTGAAGCAGTAACCCTTGCCCACAAGTATCGTAGCAAGGGTGGTGTGTCGCCGGGCGGTGGTGGCGCACGCCTTTAATCCCAGCACTAGGGAGGCAGAGGCAGGTGGATCTCTGTGAGTTCGAGGCCAGCCTGGTCTACAAAGTGAGTTCCAGGAAAGGCGCAAAACTACAGAGAAACCCTGTCTCGAAAAACCAAAAAAAAAAAAAAAAAAGGGTGGTGTGTCAGTGTGACTTTGAACAGTCAGCTGCTAGGCAGTTGTCCTTGAAGAAGTATTTTCTATGATAAGGAGTGGTGGCCTCTGCACAGTCTTTTTGTGTTAGTCATGTTATTGGACCTAAGCATAAGGCTTTTTTCCTTCATATTCTTCTAGCTTTATTTATTTCATATATTGTTTTGTTAGGTTTCGGTCCCTGCAGATCTGTAGATGGACCACTTCTCAGCCCTTTGCTATTTATTTAAGAATGGCTATGACACACCGGAGTGGGGCGGGGCTTTTGTCACTGCTACTCAGGGAGGGGAGGTGGGAGAATCACTGGGCACAGCAGCTCAAGATGGGCCTGAGCAGTGTAGTGAGGCTGTAGCCAAATAAATAAATAAAGTCACAAGTTTATTAATTAGACATGTAACTTTATCTGTGGAACATGATCAGGTGTATAATCATCAGGTCAAAGAGCAAATGCAATTTCAGTTTGATAGATAATGCCAAGTTGTAGCCCCAGGGCAGCTTCCCTGGGCTCCTGTCATCTCCAAAGAGCCTGAGGGAGAGGCTGGAAACTTTTGCCAGTCTTCAGGGGCTGGGTGTTAATCCGGAAGTGTGACCTTCTCATATAGAGGGCCCCAGCTTCAGGGAAAGGCTGGAGGCAGTAGAACTGGCACCCTGTCCAGCAGGACTGAGCTGGGATCTGGGGTCCTAGGAACGGAGCCCTGGGCCCCTGTAGGCTTTGCACAGCCAGATTAGGACAGCAGGGAGAAAGTAGTAGCCTGGGGATGCCCTGCAGGATTCCACACACAGAGATTGTTGAGTGAGCCAGATAGGCGTGGTACACCTCAGCACTTAATAGGTAGAGACAGAAGGGTAAGTGCAAGTTCAAGGCCAGCCCGATTCACACACTGAGTTCTAAGCCAGCATCTTGAGACCTTGTCCATGTGCAGAGGAAGTCCTGGGAATAAAAGGGGAGACAAAGCCTGTGATGGATTAATGATTCCTGGGAAGGGTTGGCAAGGAAACAGGCTCAGAGAACCTTTGGGGCACTGGGAGGGGGAGCTACTTACCACAGTCAACCCCCCACCCCCCGGAGGCTGATCCTGGGACCCAGTGGTTGGCTGGGAGCAGTCCAGGGTTGGGGGTTAGCGTCATAGAGGAGAAATAAGTGGAACACAACCTTCACCTTCATTCTTAGAATCCCCCTTGTCCAGCCGGGAGGTGGTGGCGCACGCCTTTAATCCCAGCACTCGGGAGGCAGAGCCAGGCGGATCTCTGTGAGTTCGAGGCCAGCCTGGGCTACCAAGTGAGTTCCAGGAAAGGCGCAAAGCTACACAGAGAAACCCTGTCTCGAAAAACCAAAAAAAAAAAAAAACAAGAATCCCTCTTGTCCAAGGTTTGAACTTATACCAGAA